CCTCTAACAGTTGCACTACCAATTATTTCAGTATTATATTAATAGTTCTTTGAATCTGTTCAGTTATTAAATAACCAAATTGGTATCAAAATATGTAAACTTTTTTTTTTCGAAAAGGAACAAATTTGACCGTGTACCTATTATTTTATAATAGTAACTTTTTTTATCTACCATTAGCGTTTTTCATAAAAATATTCATCTAGTTTTAGACTTGAAATTATTTGAGTCATTTGTGACGCAAACTGCGAATCGGTAAAATGCAAACTTTTTTAGTAGTACTTTACTGATCGTTTATTTTTTGATTTAATATCATAATTTATATAAACTTATATTCATCGTTAAATTTTAAACTTCATACAGTAATCTCGCCGGCTCGAGCCCAACAAGCGACATTGGTAAGGAAGGAGGCGCGAACTTCCTTGTTAAATGCTCTTTCCGAGGCTCTGTTATAAGACTGTAAGGACTTCTGTTATAAGACAGAAGGACTTCTGGGAGCACCTTGATAACCACATAAAAGTAAAAAAAGAAAAAAAAGCAAGATTATTATTTGAAATAAAAGGAAGCTATATATATATAAAGCTTCATCATATAAAGTTTGAACTCCTCAATTCGAGGGGGTTACAAATTTTATAAGATCATAGTTTTTAAAAGCTAAGAGATTATTGTATAAAATTTAAATTTTTCTATAAATATAAATTTAGTTGAAAATAGTAAAAAAAAAAAATATCAAATTGTTGCTCTTGTTTGGACCTGTTGAAAAAAAAAATTTTGAGCTTTTTTTGTTTCCGGACTCCTATCATCGCAACTTTTTGAAAAGCATCCTTATTTGATATAAGTATAAATATATACGTATTTGGAGTTAGTTCAATTTCTGAAAGTTAGCTATCTCAAACAACAAAAAGGGCTGCATCCGCCACTGCTTTTTAAAAAGTAAGAAAAAAAAAGCAATCGAGTAAAAATAAAATAAGAAAGAAATAAAAAGTAACTCGATTAAAACAAAAAATCATTAAACTCTTAAATTTTATTGATCTATATTTAATGGAAAAATATACATAATAAATATAACTTTTAATAAAAATGCGATAAAACTAACATTAGATAACTTTGTAATTGCATCGGAGAAAACAGCTGACGTTCGCTATATATTTACATACGTTGGCCATTTTACAACGTATATGTGCTCGCTGGGGCGTGATTAAAAATAGTTAGCAAATTTTGATTGGTCCAACGCATGTAAAAACATTGCAAAAGTTGATTATTTTTCTGATCTTAAAACAACGTTTTAAGATCGGAAAAACAATCAACTTTTTAGTTGTAGTGGGCGTAGAGATTTTCTCTGTTATGTGTTTCTTAAATGACCGGTCTTGTCTACATTTCTCTATTCTAATATTCGACCTCGCTCACTTCTGACTTTTTACTTTATTATCTTCTTTTCTTCATCAATATTTCTGTATCATCGTCAGAGTGCTTCGAAAGGACAATGTTGGCGTGTATACGAGCTTGGATCATGAGATGACTCCAAAAGGTATCCGCCGGAGGAGAATAAACCACAATACCCTTGATTCATCGTAAGTGGATGAAATATATATGTATATATATATATATATATATATATATATATATATATATATATATATATATATATATATATATATATATATATATATATATAACTTTCTAGTCATTATTATTACGGTTTTTTTAAAAAACAATAAAATTTAATGTACTTCCGCATTAATTTAATTGCTTTGACTTTTCGACGACATCAAAATGCAGCTTAAGATATTTTTTTTTTTAATTTTTAATGAGTGGGCAGCATATGGGAGTAAGTTAAAAGATAAAACGGCATAATATTCGCCTGCAAACCACTGTACCACAAACCACTGTACCACAAACCACTGTACCACAAACCACTGTACCACAAACCACTATACCACAAACCACTGTACCACAAACCACTGTACCACAAACCACTGTACCACAAACCACTGTACCACAAACCACTGTACCACAAACCACTGTACCACAAACCACTGTACCACAAACCACTGTAGATACCAGACATGTTGATCGTTTTTTTTTAAAGGCTGTCTTTTACTGTCAAGAGCATTTATTCCAAAATCCTCGAGCTTCTAATCTCAATATCCAGCATTGAGGTAGCAACACGACTCGCCTTTGAGATAAATGACAAGAATCATTCAACTGTAGTACCAGATGGGAGAACGTAGTGAATCATAAAACACACTTCTAGACATTAGATTTATCTTGTTCTATCTCCACTTTTAAAAAAAATGAAGTTACGGATATGTACCTCAGATTAATATTTTTTTATTGTATTGAAACCTAAGTTAAAAGAAAGCATAAGTAGTAAAATTGTTTTATATGCCGGTTCCTAAAGATTTCATTTACCAAAGCGTTTTATAAGCTCCAATCAATTATCAATGCGATTTATAAGCAGCCATGGCGCTGTGGTAGCGCACTTGCCTCAGAAACCCACTTCTGGGCAAGTTTTGCGACATCTGTTGGAAAGGAGGGGTGAACTTCCTATTAAATGCTCTTCCTATTAAATGCTCTGATAAGACCGTATATATACCAAAATTATTACGTATCAGATTGATAAAAATACATTAATATAATATTGATACATTAATATAGTATTGATGCAAACTTTAATATAAATTCTGGTATAATAACTATTATATACATTTATTTTTTCTATACTTTAATGCGTAAAAAAAAAAGAAAATCAAAGAAGATTCAGAATTTTTGGGTATAAAACTCCAAAAAAAATCTTTTCGCAGATTCCCTTAATAGCGCTATTTAGCGTATATCTGTCTATATAAAAAGTTAATTAAGTGAACTTAAAAATAATTTTTTTGTAATCAGCTTTGTAATTGCTATTTCTAATGTTTCAGAAAATTCAGAATCCCAGGTTTTAGTTTTTTTAATATAATAGTCATGGAAGCTATTTTTTGTTTTTTAATATAATAGTTACGGAAGTTGATTTGATAACTTTTTATTTATAAATTCGTAGAAGAAGTCTGTTAGACTTTCGCTCTGTTTTTGTGCAAGATTAAATAGCATTTCAATTTTAGGGGTTGCAGCAATAAATTTCTTTTATTTTATTTTTTTCTCTACTATCTCTTTAAGGCGTGTTCATTAATTATGTCAACAAAATGGAGGAAAAGGAGAGGAAGAGGTCTGAAATTTTTGACAAACTAACACCCCGCCTACCTTATTCTTGATGTTTTCGTTAAGTTCCCCTCTTACCCCACTCACACATCTTATCGCTATACACACTAGTATAACATATTACTGTATGTTATATATATAGAAGAAAAGTGGTCCCTTCAAAAGAATATTCATTGGAAGAAAAATGCAGAATGCCTCTCAAAAAGCAAATTGTTGGACGCTACTATTTTCGTGGACCAAAAATCAAAGGAAGAAAGAAGCGAATAGCAGAACTTTCTAAAGAAGTCACCAAATTGTGGAAGAATAAACTGAATTTTTCTCATGTATCTGTTATATGAGCAAAACTGATAAAATACTGAAATGTCATGATGAATGTATCAAGCGGGGAAGCTACGAACCCCTTAATGAAAATTTTGGTATTACTAAAGTGGATGGAACATGGTTATCTTCTGAGGACAAGCAATTGTACCATATCCAAGTGGAAAGTAAAGGAACAATGGGATAGTCTACAGACCAAGCGGCCAGTAAAGAAACGATCCATCCTTCTAAGATAAAATCTTTTTAATGAGTCATCCAACTCATCATCTTACTATCCTGGTTTTAATGATTCTGACTCTGAGGCTGACAACAGTGAATATGAAAACATGAAGAAGGTGAGACAACTCCTACACCAAGCAGAAAACATCATTAAAGCAAAATTGCAGTCAACTTGGTGACCTCCATAAGAGTATCAACAAACAAAGCTGCTAACATATGCAAGTAATTGGCTTGTGAAGACATTGACATCCCAACTCCATGTCAATTACTATTTACAAGTCAACAATCAAAAGGAACCTGAAGAAAGAAATGATTGAAAAGTTGCATATGGAAAGTTGGTCCTTACACTTTGATGGAAAATAAAATTGGATGTTCTTGGCTTGGTAGATGGTAGGGCTTTAACTATTGCTCAAAGGAGTTTCTAAAGTCCTCAATGAATTTCACTTATGGAATTCAATACATGTGATTGTTGCGGATACCTCCAGTTGAAATATTGCAACGAATTGCAATATTGTTGTTGAAATATTGCAACGAATGTTCACAGCGAAAAGCATCAACAAACCTCAGTTTATCAGTTGTCAACACCAAATTTTAGATAGAATCCTAGGACAACTACAGAGAGTCAATTTATATCGTATGGCTGGGCAAACCATTGGTTTACAGACTAACTGTATCACGAAAACAACCTAATAACTTGGCTGAATTACTGAATCCATACAAAAAGGCTTTAAGCTCTTTGAAAAATCACTGGAAGCGAGAGCCATCCATACTACAGATACCCAGAAGTCATCAATGCACAGAGCGCGCAATCACAGTAATGAAGGAAATTTATTTATCATGCAAAAATAAAGACAAATTGCACCTTCGATTCTTTCTGTGCAACAAGCAAGAGCAAGGTCAACGGTCTGAGTCATTGTTAGATTGAAAATTTATTGTATTACATGACTATGACATTCTAAATATATTTGAATACGTAGTAGTACTTATGTCAAAATCGATTTTTCGATGGCGAGGTGAACCTTTTTTGAAAAGATATGCAAATAGTTCATTTCACACTTTTTAGGTAAAAGTTCAATACAGGAGCATGGGGTTGATAAAAAGTCATAGCCCTAATATATATATTCGGGAAATATTTGATATTTTCGTATTTTTAAAATTATCCGGATAAGTTGATCCGAAACCGGCAGACACCCATTTTATACCTAAAATTCATTTTCAGACAGTGTGACCTAGCATAAAATATATAGTAAAAGGAATAATAATGCAAATAAGTTTTGAAGACTTTAATTTTTATAAACAATTGAAAATAAGAATACGGAATAAATCAGAAAACAAAAACGGCACCAATAATAAAAACACAAACTTTTATTAAAAATAGTTCATATAAATTCAAAAGATTATTATTAGTCTTAAAAAAATAATTAAAATTCAATATTTAAAATATCGCCATGGATCCATTCAAAGAGGAATCAACAGGGTGAGTTCATGAGGCGATGTTCATGCATTTATAGTTGTTTTGCTAATATGTTCTTGTAGTTTTATTGATATTGTAAATTTTAATAAATCTGAAAAATTTCTATAATTTTTTATTTTTATATCAATAGTAATGCTCATATATATATATATATATATATATATATATATATATATATATATATATATATATATATATATATATATATATATATATATATATATATATATATATATATATATATATATATATATATATATATATATATATATATATATATATATATATATATATACATATACATATATATAGTTTATGTATACAATGTATAAATATATAAATAAGATATAGTTTATATATATAATATATATATAAACTATATATCAACAGTATTACTTCCATATTGTATTACTGGTGATTATATAGGAATAAACTACAGTTTAATAATAAATAGTAGTATAAGCATTGACAATAGAATTAAAGATTTTTATGCAACTAATAGATTTTTTTATTAATAAATATTTACTAACTTCACTAGTTTTATTAGTAAAATAAATTTTATAATTTCTTAATTAGATTATCACTAATTAAATTGCATCAAAGTACTAACTAGTAATTTTTTAAAATCAGTTTGATAGTTTAGCATTTTTTATATAATAATCATTAGTTGTTACTATTACATAATTGTTTATATATAATAAATATTTGTTGGATCCAACAAATCGTATTAATTCTAATAAATTGAATCCACTTGCTTTTTATCTAAAATTTACTGTTTTTGAAACAATTTTTTAAAATAATTGTTTATTAATTATCTATTCCAGGAAACTTCATCATTTGTTCCCTCAAATAATTTTTTTGTTTTTTATTTAACTGTTATAAGTTTAATAGTTAATCATAAGATTTGTTTTCATTGTTTTAAAGTCAGGACTTTTTCATGCTTGATTATATGACACTTTCTGGCATTGTGAAAAATCTTTTTTTAAGTATGTTTATGTGCTTATATCAAATGTGTGTTTATGTCAAGTGAGAATGTTTTGCAAAAAAAAATGTAGTGATTAGAACTTGGGAACAAAAATATCCCCAAAATATTGGAGGTTTTTACTTGATTGAGTTTAATACTTAGTTTGTTGTTGATTTTGCAATTCTAACTAACTACATGCTGTTTAAAGATTATATTTATTTGATTATTAAGTTTTTTAAATACATCATTTGAAGGACTTTTAGAAGATTCTTTTAAATTTTTTTAGAGATAATTGATATTAAACATTTAGCTTTCCTTTATAAATGAAATTGCATTTAAATTTACAATAAAAAGTTTTTGTAAAGACATTTAATTTGAGCTTGCATTGTTGTCATTTCCATGACTAATGTTTGTAAAGATATTTTGTACATATAAAAATAAATATAAGTGTAGCATGCCTTGTTAATGCTAATAAATGTAACTTTAACACATCTTTGATATATATTTCATTAGAAGTTAAATTTCTTCATTAGCATATTTAGTGGCATATATAGTACCACGTTGTAATTAAATTTAATTTTAAACCGCATTAAAAATCATTTAAACTAATTTAACAAAAATTACTGATAAAAGATTAATTCGGTAAAAAAAAAAATTATATCCTTGTAAATTGTTTCTTAAAACTTACACTTAACTTAAATCTTATACTTAACATAATCTTTTGTTTGTTTATCACTGTTTATAATTTTTGCGATATTATTAATAATTTATAGACTTTTTCAGTAATCAAATAGATAATTTTTTTTAAATCTAAAATTTCGCCTAGAGTTCAGACTATTGTAATTGTAGTTGTAAAAATTAAATACAATAGCAAAATACAATAATATTGTATTTTTTGTATTGCTGTAATAAAGAACAATTAAAATAACTTTTGTATTGTTTTTTATTGCTATTATTTCCGTTTTTTTTCCCATTCATTTTCTATTATTTGGGTACTTATTAATTAAGAGGCATCTGTTTGCAGCAGTCATTTATAAATATAAATTTCATTTATTTTGGAAGTAAAGTGAAGCCCAGTATGCCAAAAATATATATTACGCATACTTAATAAATATTGAATTCAGGGCCATTTGTGACACCTGTTTTTGCAACCATTTACTTACATAAATTTTCTTTTGAGTTAATGACAATAATGATATATACTTTATAGCTTTTAAATTCATCGGCAGTCTCGGCACCCATTTCTAACAACCATTTACAGATATAAATTTTATTTATTTTTAGAAGTCAAGTGAAGCTGTGAAGCCAAAAAAGTATATTATAGATACTTAATAAATATTAAATTCAGGTCCATGGCACATGTTTTTAGCAACCATTTTATTTGTTTTGAGATAATGAAAATAGTATAACTGTTTAAAAAATAGTTTGTTTAGATTAACATTAATTGTGTTCATATAAAATCATACAAGTATATAAATTATTATATATTTGTAATTAAATAAATAATTATTTACTTTGTGAAGATGCCCAAACTAATCGATTAATTAATCAAAACGTATAAAAATAATTTATTATTATAATTATTCGCTAATGAGTAATAAATTTCAGCATTGCGAGAATCATTAACCTGGGTTATTATATATTAGATTGTCTACACATGTGAACTACTTTTATTTTGCAACAATTTTTATTACATTTTCAGATTACTCTATTATTGTTTTTGATTTTTGTAACAAACTCTGCACAAAAACAAAGAGCAATTGGTACAAAAAGGGGGTTGATTGCACCAAACAATACTCTCCACACCTCCATTCCTTTTTATTGTTTCTTGAATTACAATATTACAATAATTTTAAATTGCAGATATTGTTTTTGTTTCCAAATAAAATTTAATACAATAACAATAGTCATTGTTTCCCTTATTGTTTTATTACAGTTACAATAGTCTGAACCCATTTCACCATATAACTTCTGATCGTCTGATTGAGCTTTGTATATAACTTGTTTTGCTGTAGGGCAAATTGTAAAATGTAAAATAGACAAAAAAATTGATTAAGTTGACATCACTATTTTGACTGTCAAAAATATCCCAAATTATATATCATTATTATCTATTTTCATGCAGTTGTAGTGCTCTGAAAATTTTTTCTCAGGAAGACTGTCTCATTTTGTTTATTAAATATTGCTATTTATTGCAAACAATTATTTTACAAAAAGATAAATCAATAGAATTAAAACCTGAATATCTAAAGAACTCTATAGAGTTAAGTACTTCAGCTTTTATGTTTGTTTTTTTAAATACTGATATGCATATAAAATAAATTTAAATATAAAGATTTAAGGCAGTATTTTGTTTTTATTTGTTATTTACAATGACACTTTTTAATTACTGTTTTTTGGTTATCTTGGTTATATCTAATAACAGATATTCTCTTTCTAGTGCAAATAGTTTTACTTAAACATAAAGTTTTGTTTCCAACTAAACCGTGTTAAACTTTTATTTAAATTGGTTCTTGGATAAAAGTTAGTTTATTTGGATAATATTTTCAGAGTTAAATGACTGATTATTGTTATCTATATTATGAAATGATTAAAAAAAAACTGGTTTAATTGTAGTAGTTTTATTGTTGGTATTTTATAAAGTTTATTTTTTTAATTTTGGGTTTCATTTTAGATACACTGGGACAGTCCCTGGAAGGTATGTTTCTTAAATTTCAAAATCTCCAAAATCTTCACAAATTGAGAAACAATTTTTTTTCCTTAACGTGTTTAAATTCTTTCGCTACTGTTTTTCATGAATTTTTATATGTCCAATTATTTTTATCAAATATCAATTATTTACTATGCTACAATGAATCATCTATTTTAATTTACCTTGCAGTATTATAATTTACCTTGCAGTTTATAAGACTTTAAGAAATAATTTTTTTATAGTATCATGGATGATAATGATGAACAAGCATTTAGTCCCTCAAATCTTCGCCAGCAAAAACTTGAGCAAGAGGTTGTATTTTATTAAATGTCTGAAAATTTAAAGAATATATTATTTTAGGTATGCTATTTTTATAATAAAGTTTGTAATATTTTGAATAATTTTAGAGGAAAAGAATGGCAGCAAAGCAAAAGGAAAAAAGAATAAGTTCAGGTATATCCTTGTTAATCAAACAGTTTCAAACATGCATCTTGTTATTACTTCTTGACATATGTCATTGTTATGCAATGATGCAGTAACGCTTGCCAAAAAAAAAAGGTTTTTTTTTTTTTTTTTTAATTGCAAATCTTTTTTGTTCATCAATTACTTTTATCAAAAATTGTGAAACGCTTTAAAATAAAATTTTTGGCAGCTAATATGTCTTTGTATTTTGTCAACCATGCTTTTATTTGTTTATCTATTTCGCTTTCAAAGAATTTAAAAAAATTAAAAAATGTTCTTTTTTTTTTTCTTTTTACTTATTTTTGTATTTTCTGCAAGTTGAGTTTTTCATACTTTATTTTAAAACATGATTTCTTCTGATTAATCTAATTTAATCTAATTAATCTAATTTTCAGGACATATTCCTAACATAAAAATTTATTTGATAGATTTTATTTAGATATTTTTAAAAATCATTATATTTAACTTCTTTAAATGCTTGTAAGTAATATAAATTTTGATTAAAAAAATATGTATCTTTACTTTTAAAAGAAATAATTAAAATTCTATCTGTCAAATGGATTAATGATAATCTCATCAACAGATATGGGAAGTTTTGATTTGTGGTTTTTAAATCTAAATCAAGACAATGTGTTTTGAAAACACAAAAATTGTGTGTTTTTTTACATTGTTTTTGCAACATTTTGGATTTTTGGTAAAGGACACCAGAGTGGTTTTTTTTTTATAGTTATTTTTTTATTTTATTTATTTGTTATTTAAAAACTCTTTATTTACATTTTTACTGCTGTTTAACATTTATTAGCAAAGTTACAAAAATCTTTTCATAATAAATATTTAAAAAATTACATTTGTGAAGGTAAATGTCATTTTGAAGATACTTTAAAATAACTTATTACTGTTTTTTAGTAAGGTAATTAAAAATACTGTTATTAAACTAAATTTGCTCTTTAAGTGAAAGTAACAACATCAAAAAATCAAAAATGAAAATTGCAATGAAATGTATCATTCAAATTTTATTTGTATTAAACTTAAAGAGGATTATAATATATACATAGTTTTTTTTAGTTTTTGATTTAAAATTTACTAATACAAAAGTTTTACAAACTAAAAATTACAAATACAAAAATTATTATTTTTTCAAATTTATAATTACAAAAATTATTAGGCATTAAAATTTGCAGCTTAAATTTACTTGTGCAATCAACAAATCTCACCCTTTTCCTTAAATGCCATTATTGCTTATTTAAAATAATTCTAAAATAGCATATCGCAACGAAAGTTCTTTTAACTAACCTCTTTTAAGACAAGCAAGTTGCTTATTTGAAAGCTATTGAACTATACAATAAAATTGTATTGTGACTTAAATATCATATTTAATGCAATATTATTAGGAGTTACTGGTTTTTTTACTTGAAAGTTACTGTTTGTTTTTTTACTGTTAATTTAAGTGTTGAGCATTCCTTTATATTGAACAGTTTATTATTGCATCATTAAGTGCATTTCAATGATTAGTAACACAGTTACTAAAGAAATGTTTGCAATTTTTGTTGTTTTCATGTACAAACAATGAAAACGATAAAAACCTCTTTTACCAGCTGTTTCAATCACAAGTTTAGTATGCCAAACATGTAGATGAGAGAGAAAGTTCAAATGCATTGATGTGCAAGGAAAAAAACTAGATGAATAAATAATTTTAGAGAAAGGATAGATACAGTAAAAGGATGCGGCTTTGCTGAATTCAAATGAGAATGACTTTTGGTTGAGGTAACTAAAAAACTCGATGAATAAAGAGTTTTAGAGAAAGGATAGATACTGAATAGGACTTTGCTGAATTTAAATCAGAACGACTTTTGATTAAGGTAACTAAAATCATAGCTCATTTGAGCAGCAACCATGATGCAGCAACCATGATGCAGCAACCATGATAGTATTTGTAAAAAAAAGAAAGAGTTGCAACTTTACGACAATGGGACTGTCACTAAAGCTGGATTTTTGACCATGTCTTAAAAAGAAAGAGCATCATTAGAAGAACCAGCCCAAATATGACAACAGTGTCCCATACAGGAACAAATAAGAGATTTGTAGAGGTAGAGGATGGAATCAGGAGAAGGGAAATTGCAAGCATTAAATGAAAAAGAGAGATAACCCTACCAGCTGCTAATTTAACACTAGGAAGGGCATCCAGTTATTAAAAAGTTGCTTCAACTTTTCTCTAATGTTAATTATTATTCAGATAAGATAATGGTATTATAAAAACTTATCCTAACCTCACAAAGTATTTAATCATGGGTGATAAAAAAACTTCACAAAGTATTGAACAATTGATGATAAAAACACCTCACAAAATAGTGAACCATGGGTGATAAATAAACCTCACAAAGTATTGAACCATCGACAATAAAAAAATCTCACAAAGTGTTGAACCATGGATGATATACCTAGAAATAATATATTGTTTAATATAATATATTTAAAGTAATATATACATTACTAGCCCTTGGGATTAGAGTTGGCATTCAGCAATGCCCACCTAACTGCCAACCTAGAAGTGTTTGAAGTTTTTCTGTTTTATGGTAAAACTTTTGTGTCAAATTTTTTTTTTGACCTGACGCCGACCTCACTTTTGGTATTTCTAAAGGCTGCATTACATTTAATCACAACCTGTTACATTATTATTTAATCAAAACATTTACTTCAATCAAACATTGTATATTTTAAATAATGCCTAACAAGTCAAATAATATTCAAAGTTATATTACTATTGATGTCATCACATAATGAAAATAGAGGTTGCTTATTATTCTTAAATTATTGTTGTATTATTTTATTAGTAATAGATAATTATTTAATTTTAATACAGCATATAAATACACATGTACCTATTATATTTGCATTGATAATGTTTTTAATGACATTAGTATTATTTGTTAATTTATTACTAAGTTAATGTAACTTCTTCTTAGCCATGTTAAAAATGCATTAATTGTTATGCATTATTAGGCTTTATTTGAATTATTGCATTAAAGCAAATGAAAGCTTAAGGTTTACTCCCTTGCACCATAAAAGTCTTACAATCCTATCCAAAATAGCCTATGGTTCATGTTCCTTTTTAGGTGAAACATAAAAAAGAAAAAAAAAATCAAATTTTAAGAAGCTTACAAAGCGTTTAATTTATAATATTAAAAAATATTGTTTCAATGGTTCACATTTTTTTCACTGCATAGTTGCAACATGATATATGCACCCTTTTTTTTTATTACACAACAGCAACATGTTAAATGTAGCTATTTGCTATGTGCTATTCTATTGCAAAATAGCCTATGAATTATTTTTTTTTTTAAGTAAAAAATAAAAAAGAATAAAAATTTCAAATTTTAGAAAGTGAAGAAAATGTTTAATTTATGTATTTGTAAAAATGTTGTTACAATGCTGTTGAATGTTTCAATGCTTGATGCTTTATGTTTGTAAAAATGTTGTTTAAATGCTACACATTTATTTCACTAAATAGTGGCAAAATGTTATATGCACCCATTTTTTTTATTACACATTTGCATTGTGTTAGATGCAGCTATTTTATATGTGTTAGATTCAAACTATGTGTTATTTCACAGCAAAATTCGAGACATAAACTACTTACAAGGATGCTTATTAAATTTCGCTTTTTATATATGTAAAAAAAAATTTGTTTTATGAAAGATGTTCACCATAGTGTTTAGGTAATGATTTGTTTAATCGAATAGTATGCAAATCAGTAAAAATATTTTTAGGTATGATGCAAGCTAATGATATGGTTAGACCTCGTACTGCTGGTTCAAGACCAAAATCTGCTAGTAAAGGTTGGACCACAGGTATTTAATTAAAATCAAAATTTTCAAAAAACTTGTTACCTAAATTCCTCAAATGTTATTAAATTTCTTAAATGAAGTTAGTTCACAAATTTTAATAACAGGTGTTTGCTAGATATTTTTCTGTTAATTTTTTAGCTTTTTGTTTTTCAAATTTTTTTTGTTTTTAAATACCTAAATTATTTTTGATATGTTTTAATGTTTTGTAGGTTATATATGTTTTATAGACTAAAATTTTTTATAGACATTCTTTTCAGGCAAAGTTGTGAATCAAACATTGGTTTGATTCAAATTTAAATTATAAAATTTTAATATATATATTTTTTGAAGCATTTGTGAATGAAACTGATATATCTGATAAATGTTTTTATAGATGTTCCTTCAGGGGGAGTTGTGAATGGAGCTTATATATCTGATAAAATAAATACAAAATTAAATGAAGATGATGACATTCCAACCGAGGTATATTCCTTTGTTTGAATAAAGTTATTAATTAAGTTAGTAACTTTGGTATGCTGGCTCTATAGGCTATGCAAGAATGCAGCATGGGCCATAAGCCATTTATCCTAAAAGGGCTTTTTGGAAAAAAAAATTATTTTACTATATTCTGAAAATGAACAACTAATATAATTTTATTCACTTTATTTATTTCACAAAATAATTTCTTTATTTGTAAGATTTAAAGTGTTAAACTTTGAGTGCTTTGTATTTTTCATAATAAAATGCAACCATTATCTAACAGTGGGATCAAAACAAAGTAAATATTTGCAAAAAAGTATTATTACATCACATAAATTACTTTTTAAAATTTTAATAAATTAAAGAAACTGTGAAAAATTTAGGAATAGCGAAGTGCTATTTTTAAGATTATATAGTTTTTTCAATTAAAATATTTCATTCTTAAAACTATATAGTTTTTAATTTAATTATTGCTTATGTCACTGACCAACAGATAAATTGCTTTGTAACCATGGAATCAAAATGATGCCTCGAATTGTGATCTGACATCAAAACTTTTTTATGGGGTCAAAATAGTTTGCAGAATGATGTTAGCGAAAAGACTTTACTTTTCTAAAATGTTTTACAATTAAATCTATCTTTAGAAGGAAAAAAAATATTTATCTCTATTTATAATTAATTTTAAAATGAAACTATTTAAACAGTTAAAGATATAGTTTCCCTAAACAAAAGCCATCAGACTAATAAAAACTTTCCTTTTTTAATGGAAAGTTTCACAAAAAAAGTTATTTAAAAAAGTTTTCAAAGCATGAAAAAAGTTATTTAAAAAAGTTTTCAAAGCATGAAAAATATTTTAAATGACAAAAGGAAGAAAAAAATTTTTTTTTCAAAATGAAAGTTAAACACTAAATAAAGAATTTCTGGTTTTATGTCTTAAAACGATGTCAGGTAAATTTTTATTTCAAATAAAACTTGGTAGTTACTAATTATAACTCCAATAAAGTATTTATAATACCAATAAAGTATTTATAATGGTTATATATTATTCAGTTGCTTAACATAAAAAAACATTTAAATATTTTATTTAAAAATTATTGATTTTTCTACGTTCTTCTGTCTTCGACATTCATTTAAAATCTATCGTTATTACATTTTTAAGCAATTTTGTCAATGCTATAAAAAAACAGTTCTTTATATAACACAATGAAACACTAATCAGTGTCTTTATATAATACAATGAAACGCTAATCAGTATTTTTATATAACACAATGAAACACTAATCAGTATTTTTATATAACACAATGAAACACTAATCAGTATCTTTATATGAGGAGAAAATTTTCAAAAGTCACAAAAATAAAAGCTTTGAGTTTATACCATATCCAAATTTTATATATTGAAGTCTATCATCATTTATATATAATAATAGAATTTTGGTCCTATCTTTATATAATAATAGATACTTGTTCTTAATAATTGATAGAGAAAATATAAATTTCTGTTTTTGTGCATCTATAAGAAGTTCAGTTTTTGTCAATTTCTCAAAATCAACTTACTTAGACTTAGCACCTTTTGAAAATTTACTCCTCATATATAGTTACATTCTGGTTTAAAACAGCATGTAACTTCATGCTGTTATGAAATGTAGAGTTTATGTATTTATGGGCCTTTAAATCAAATATACTTGGTAAAATATAGCATAATTAGGCTTTTTTAAAAAAAAAAATACTGCATAGATTTTTTGAAGCCTATGCAGTGTTGACCACGCTCTTGATCATTAAGTAGAATTATTATTTTTTCAAACTCATTTAAAATATGATTATTATGTAAAATATTGAAACTAAATAAAATATAGTTATATAAAATATTAACTTAACTTACTAAATTATCTTCAATAAAATAAAAAAATTACATTATTTATGTAATTTTTTTTCTCTCTAGATTTTGATTTTTGATAAATATTTTTCCCATTTTTTGAAACTTTTTAAAATAGTTTTTGCTTTCTCTAAATCTCTCTCTCTCTCTCTCTCTCTCTCTCTCTCTATATATATATATATATATATATATATATATATATATATATATATATATATATATATATATATATATATATATATATATATATATATATATATATATATATATATATATATATATGTATATATATATATGCTGTTATGACTTCTTTTCTTTTGTTGTTGTTGTTGTTTTTGGTTGTTGCAAAGTTAATATTATTACTCAGGCATCTGTGTTATTTCAATAAAATTTATGATTTACTTACTATCGATTGCTTTTTAACAAATGATAGTTCTCTAATGCAGTCTTTAATGGAAGTAAGAGAGTTGATAATTATTAAACTATGGTCTATCAATCTTTTGTTCTTAAAATTGTCATGCCAACTATTGTCAGCACAAGGGCCATTATTTCATTGATCACACAACACTTTTGCTTAGTTAGTTTTACATTGTTAGAATGAATTTAAAAGTTAAGCATTGTTGGCTATTTTTGTTAAATATCCAATGGTCATGTTGCACAGTAGACTAAACAATTGACATGGTTTAAAAAATAATTAGTTCATTTTTTTAATAAAATTTTTAGCATGATTAATTTAGAAAATATGCTAGTTTAAAACACACAATTTTGTTGCAAAAGTGAAGTACAACATAAAATTATGCATAAACTTATCTACTATGTGTATATAGATCAACAATTGCTAACTTATTTTTGAAAACAAATTAGTGTGTAGACTTTTTGTTTGGCTAAGAATATATCAAATTTATTTTTGTGATTGTTTTTTTGTTTTTTTTATAAAAGAACACTTAGGAATGCCTTTTAGTAAATTTTTATTTTTTTTAGTTATTAATGTGCTCTAAGGAGATCTAAGGATCTTATGACAGAGCACTGTGGATAGCATTTAACCGAGAAAATCATGCCTCCATTTATACCGATGTTGCTTATTAAGCTAGAGATGGCCTCAAATCTCTTGGTTCAGAACTTAAGCCACTGTGCCACAGCTGCTTGATAATAAAATGATAGTAATTTATTAAAATAACACATATGTTTTAATAATTAACACTTTCAAGATTAACTGTGAAAATGTTTTGAAAATCCAAACAACTGCTTTACTGATTAATTTTAAATTCCTTAATCTAATTAATATTATATAATTTTTTTAAAACTACTTTTATAATTTATAATTATAATTATTTATAAATAATTTTTAATTTATAAAGAATAAATGATAATTAATTTATAAGTATAATTAATTTACAATCATGTAATCTATTGATGATTTATTATTCTATTTATAAATAGTTAAATAGTAGTTTGTACAAACTACTATTTAAGTTAGGAGCTAACAGAAAGCAAAGAAGAGGGTTATAGAGCAAAAAAACAGTTAACAGAAAGCTTAAAAAATTGTAAATTGAGAGAATTCCAAAGCATTAATGTTTGAAAAAAAAACAAGAATAGTAGTTTTTTGACCAGTTAATAGATTTATTTTAGTTGAATGGCAAGTCGTGCAAGATTGAGTTTTATTTGATAAGACAAGAAATGATTGAATATATTTTAGTCAAGTTTCCTACCAAAAAAACAGTCGACAGTCTTAAAGGAATTACTTTGAAAGTTAAATTTTTTAGGTGGAAAAAAATAGTGGGAAGCTGTTTCACTTTTCCAACAGTAGATGATGTCAGCAAAGTGGACCGGGCAGACATACAAAAGCTGCCATAGCTATCCATCAGCAGAATGGCTTAAACTGCTGCCATTATAAAAGAAACACAGATTTGATATTATTATCTCTAAAAAGTTGTTCTTTTTTGGCTCAATGTATTTATTATATATATTTTTATATTTCATTTTTTATTTTTTTAAATTTTAATTTTTTTATTTAAAGTATGCAGTTTAGTTAATTTAATTTCATTTCTTTTCATAATTATAATTAGTTATAATTAGTTATGTTATTTTTATGAGTGGGATACTTAATCCCACCCATAATCAAGTTATGAACCACAATATAAATTTGTGTAAAGAAAATAAGAAAATAGTTTTTACAGTCTGAAATAATCTATGTAAACTAAAATAGGATCTAACATTGCACCTCTTGCCTAAGTATTAGTTTTCCGATTATGTAGAGGTAAAAAATATTTTTTATAATAATTTATGTTTCAGATTGTAAATGAAACCAAAGAAAAGAATCATAAAACTCCAGTTAAGCCAAATTTCCAACATCCTGACACTTTAGATGATGAAGATATAGAATCCACATCACTTCCTGTTGTTGAGCCTAACAAAACCACAGATCAGAAATATGTGACATCAAATATAAGTGCACCAATTGACATAGCTAAAAACTCAGACGAAACGGTAACAAAGCTTATTGTAATTGCTTTTTTAATATAAGTAACTTTTTTTTTTTTTTACATCTGTTTAGTATTAGTATAATAGAATCATTTGATGATGTTTAAAAATCTTTTTGGTTCCTATGGCTTTTTAGTGTCTTCATTTTGAAAAAGCTAAGCTTGTTTTCTGTAATGGTTTACTTTTTAAAATAAATTTTCAGTTATTTAACTTCAGTTAACATTCATTCAGTTATTTAACTTCAGTTAACAATCATTCAGTTATTTAACTTTAGTTAACAGTCATTTAGTTATTTAACTTTATTTAACAGTCATTCAGTTATTTAACTTTAGTTAACAGTCATTCAGTTATTTAACTTCAGTTAACAGTCATTGATAACTTTTGGAACAAACAAGTTTAAGCATATTTTAATTATTATTATGATAAATCTAGTTTATTATGTGTTTCATGTTCTCATGTTTTCAATTTAGTTTTTGTTTAGCAGTAAATATTTTAATGTCATTTTTTGTATGGATCTGCATTAAACATAGAAAGGATTGTGTTTCAACTTTTTTAATTAAAAAATTTAAAATTATTTTTTTTCAAATATTTTCTTATAAAAAAAGTTTTACTCAAAATTTTGTGTAGGATACTACTTTGACAAATGCTGTTGATGTTGAAATAGGAAACCTTGACATGTTTGTTCTTGCGTAAGAATTGTTTGTTATCCTATTTATAGGGTATTTTTTTAAGTTTTTGAAGAAAAAACAGAAAAAAGAAAAATATTTCTATATGGCTGTCAAATAATTTTGCTACTCTAGGATATCAGTGTGTTGATTGGCCTTTATACTCTGCCATGTAGAGGACCTTTTTCTTGATTTAAGTACTAAATTATGTTCTCAAATCAAAACCAATGTGTATTAATTTATATCCTAGTTAACCTGGTGTGTTAACTAGGATATAAATTTAATACACATTGTTTTTGATTTGGGAACATAATTTAGTACTTTAATCAAGAAAAAGGTCCTCTACATGTGGGAAAATCTCCATCATATACCATTGGTAATATTGCAACATGGTTTTTTAAAAAAAAAGTATTTTGCAAATAACTTTTTTGTTACCTAATAACTATGATTTTAAAAATCTAAAAATCAAAATCTTTTTTCGAATTATAGACCAGCTCCTCAAGGTCAGACAATGAAATGTAGGATAACAAGAGATAAAAAAGGTGTTGATAGACAAATATTTCCAACATATTTTCTTCATTTAGAAAAAGATGATGGAAAAAAGGTTTGTGTTTCATTCAGTTTAAAAGTATTTATTATTTACATGTATATATATATATATATATATATATATATATATATATATATATATATATTTATATATATCTACTATAGCATATTTATATGCGCAATTGCTCACTTTTTTTGCTAGTCTAAATTAAGTGAGTGTTTTGAGAAAACGATGAGGGAAAAAGAAGAATAATGAATGAAAAGGTTGCTGACCCATCCCAAACCCTCAGTTGATGTAGCAGCACTCCACTGTGAGTAGGCTATTTGTCAGTCGATGTATGTACTGAAGCCCCAGCAGCATATATATACACAGTATAAGATATATACATATATATTTATATATACGCATATATATATTATATATAATTGTAATTAAAATAATTATAATAATTATATATATACATATTAAATATTTTGTATATATAATATATTATATATATATATATATTTTATATATCAGTTTTGATATCGTAGCTTGATGCTACGATATCAAAATTAATATCCACAGTCAGCATACTTCTCACCCGCATATCTGTTCTTGAAAACAAAAATATTACTCTAAACTAGCAGTACGCAACCCGTAATACGCGTTGTTAGTAAATAAAATTTTAAAAAAAAACGCGTATAGAAAAGCCTAGAAACTACTTTAAAATAGAAAAGCCTAGAAAATGACGTAACTCGACTAATAATAATATTAAATTAGCGTATTCATATTACCAGAAGCATATCACTCTCAACAACCAAAGTTAGCACCTACGAGTTTGACCGCAACTCTCAACTGGGCAAGCGCAAGCAAGCACGGTTCAGAAGCCAATAAAGCAATTATCACAGCAGTCAAGGAAAATGCCAAAATTGTAGAAACAAAATCTAAAAGAGCTATAGTTGCCAGTCTTCCAAAATCCTCAGACAATAGTCAGAGGTTAATTTCAGTTCAAAGTATGCTCAAAAAGCTTAACTGTAATGTTGCTTTTAAAGTTGTTGGGCATTTCTCAAAAAAGTTTAACAATACCACCCATTTAACTGCAATAGCAGCTGAACCAAATGAATTGATTATCATTGAGTTTGTCTCCAATGAGCGCCGCAATGATCTCTTATCTAATGCAAAACAACTTGGCTCAATAGATGGAATAAAATCTGTCTATATTTGTCTAGACCGTACACCTCTCGAACAAGAAACATTCAACATCTTAAACAAAAAGCGTGCTACTGAAAATGCAGAACTATTGGCAAAAGGTTTACTTTACAAACCTTTTCGATTTGTCATCCGCAGCGAAAAAATCAAATGTATTGACATATTCAAAACAGTTAACATCAATGGAAGAGAGAGGAATCCATACCTCAAATAGAAATCAGCAGCTGAGGCCATTCAATCGTTCTCAGCATCTTACTAGTTCAACATTTTTAAACAAGGCCAGCTTTTCCATTAAATTATCTAATCTTTTGTGCTTCTACACTAATGCAACCTCCCTCAATCCAATAAAACTCATCCAACTCTCCTTACTTGCAACACCTTTGACATTATTTTTTATAATCAAGACATGGTTCAATGACCAATCAACTCCCTCTCTTCTAAACTACAATCTCTATTGTTCAGACCGTCTGAAACAAATCGGAGGAGGTGTAGCTATATACACAAACAATAAAATCATCTCAAAACAACTATAGGAATCCCTATTACACAAAAATTTTATTTGTTACTATTCAGAACAATTATGGGTCGAACTAAAGCTTCTGAATGAAACTCTGCTTTTAGGCTGCATTTATAGACCTCCATCTTCTGGTATCGAAGCCTTCTCAAAGATTTCAAGTGCTATTTTCCATGCCGAAACATCAGTATTGACCAAAAAATATTATGGTATGATAATTGCCGGTGATTTCAATTTCCCAGAGATTACTTGGACTTCCAATTCAGTCTTCTCAACTAGTAAAATCAGTCTCAGTTCTTCATTTGACTCTCTTCTTCAAGATTATCATCTTCACCAAATCGTCACTGTCCCTACTTTCAAACCTGTTAATCGCACTATAGCAAACACTCTTGATCTCATAATATGTGACTCTCCATATTATGAGGTCAAGAGTGTTTGCTATAGGGCGATTAGCAGGTCCTTCACTTGGTTTGTCTGATTAATATTATTACTCTATCACCTGGCAATACAAACTGGCTTCCACCGGAAAATTATCGCATTTTATAAATCTTGCATCTTATCACAGAAGTTAGGCTCTAAAGACTTTTGGAAAATTTTCAACAGCATTATTAACAAGGGTAGATCTAATATTCCATCTCTCATTCATGGGACTGATCTTATTACCTCTCCCAAGGATAAGGCAGAACTATTTGCAAAGAACTTTTCTTCTAATTCCACTCTTGAATCTTATGGATATTCTCTTCCTTCCATTCCAGTCAAACAGGTTGACCCATTGTTAGACATTCAAATCACTCAGGCTTCTGTTGCTAAAGTCATATCTCAATTAAACTCGTCTACAGCTTGTGGTCCAGACAACATTCCTGTCACAGACTTGCAGAATTGTTCTCTAGAACTTTCTTCAATTCTCTCTAAACTATTTAACAAGTGCTTGACTGAGTCTTGTTTTCCTGCTTGTTGGAAAATGGCATCTGTGGTTCTAATATTAAAAAACTCTGGAGAAAATTCTGACCCCTCCAATAATCGTCCGATCAGTCTTCTTTCTGTTATTAGCAAGGTCTTTGAGTCTTTGATCAACAAATTCCTCACATCTCATCTTGAGTCAAATAAACTACTGTCAGACAATCAATACGGTTTTCGATCCTCTCGCTCTACAGCCGACTTGCTAACTGCTGTAACTGAAAGATTTTATTGTGCATTAGATGGAGGATGTAAGGCTAGGGCTATTGCTCTTGACATATCTAAAGCTTTCGACAAAGTTTGGCATGCTGGTCTTCTCCATAAGCTTGCTTCATATGGTGTTTCTGGGAAAGTTTTTGAGATTATCAAATCATTTCTTTCTAACCGGTTTATTAAAGTCATCCTTGAAGGCCAACACTCTTCTTTATTTCCAGTAACTTCTGGGGTTCCCCAAGGTTCCATCCTGGGCCCTGTTTTGTTTCTTATCTACATAAATGATCTTCCTGACAACCTTTCATCTAAAGTAGCTCTTTTTGCTGATGACTCAACTTTATACTCCTGTCTTGACAAAAAATCTTCTTTTTTCGATCGCCTAGAACAAGCAGCTGATCTTGAATCTGATCTCAATTCAGTAATAGATTAGGGTTCACAGTGGCTTGTGAATTTCAACTCTAAAATACCCCAGTTGTTTACTGCAAACAACTACCGTAATATGGTCAACATTCCTATATTAATGAATGGCAATCCTCTTACTGAGTCCTCCTTTTTACATCTTCTTGGATTATCGCTTACTACTGACCTTTCATGGAAACCATATATACAATCGATTGCTAAATTAGCTTCTGCTAAGGTTGCTTCTCTTTATCGTGCTCGTCATTTCCTTTCTTCTGATTCCATTCTCTACCTCTACAAATCTCTTATTCGTCCCTGTATGGAATGCTGTTGTCATATTTGGGCTGGTTCTTTTAATGATTCACTTTCTCTTCTTGACAAGGTCCATAAACGCACTGTAAATGTTGTTGGACCTGGACTATCTGCTAAGCTTGAGCCTCTTTCCCATCGTCGTAAAGTTGCATCTCTTTCTCTTTTCTACAAATACTATCATGGTCACTGCTCAAAGGAGTTATCATCTCTAGTTCCATCAACTAAAATTCATTCTCGTTTTACTCGTCATTCAGAAAAAAAGTCTCATTCGTTTACTGTATCTGTCCCTGCATGCTCTAAAAACTTTTATTCATCTAGTTTTTTTCCCCCCACTTCAATTCTTTGGAACTCTTTCCCTTCTTCATGTTTTCCTGACTCATACAAACAACTTTTCAAGTCTTCTGTCAACCGTTTCCTTGCTCTATAACTCTGTTTTTTTTTTCCCCCTAGTAACTCCCAACTTAATAGTGGTTGCTTGCAGCCTTGTTGGGAGTGAATGCAAATAAAAAAAAAAAAATTCAACAGTTCTAAATTTATTTACAACCTCGGTAACTACGACAAAATCAACAAAGAGTTCAATAAGGTTGACTGGTCATCTATTTTTAAAGACTTAAACATAGAACAATGTTACCAAATTTGGCTAAACAAATGTAATGAATGTTTTTAATTCATCTCTTGCATGCCAAACAAACCATCCCCAAATAAACAACCATGGATGACAAAAGAACTTTTATCCCTGATTTATCTTAAAAAATCACAGTGGGCTTATAGTGTCATCACTAGATATATCTAAATCACTTGGTATAGACAATGTCAGTCCTCATGTTTTACGCTTTTGTGCTACCTCAATGTCTACTCCACTTACTCTCATCTTTCAAAAGTCATTTGACAATGGTGAAATTCCAAACTTATGGTAACACCTTTATTTAAGAAGGGCTCCAGAATCGACCCATCAAACTACAGACAAATATCTCTCACCTCGGTTCCATGTAAAATAATAGAAAAACTAGTTAAAAAGCAATCATGCAGCATCAAACACTTTTCTATCAAATAGTCAACATGGCTTTTTAGAGAAAAAAGCATGCATTACAAATCTCCTTGAAACAATGGACTTCTTGACTGGAAATATGACCAGAAAACTACCAGTTGACGTCATATTTTTGGATTTTGCCAAAGCATTTGACAAAGTGCCACATCAACGAATGCTTTAAACTAAAAATATACAGAATCAAAGGTAATCTTCTCAATTGGATAAAAGCTTTTCTACTTAACAGGTCTCAAGGAGTCATTCTTGGTGACACTCAATCAAATTGGTTACCTGTGACAAGTGGGGTTCCGCAAGGATCAGTCTTGGGTTCAATTTTATTTTTCATTTTCATCAACGATCTGCTAGATGTAATACGCAAAGAAAATATTTGTGAGATCTACGCTGATGACACTAAAATTCTGAGCATTGTCAACTCACTTGCTGCTCAACTTCAACTCCAATCAGATATTGACCAAATTGTTCATTGGACTAAGTCTTGGGTCATGGAGTTAAATGCAAAGAAATGCAAGGTCATGGACTTTGGCAAAAAAAAAATCAACTTCTTTCAAGTACTCAATGGAGGAAATGTGCCCTTGTTCAATAATGACTCGAACTACATCAGAAGCAACAACCTCTGAGCATTACTTGGGAATTTAAATTACCAATGACCTTAAAGTAGAAACCCAATCCATCATTGCTTCATGTAAAGCAAATAAAATGCTAAGCATCCTAAAACACAGTTTCCAATCTTGTGATGCTTCTTTATGGAAACAACTCTACTCCACCTACATCCGTCCTTTACTTGAGTTTGCAATTCCAGCTTGGAACCCTCATTTGGTGAAGGGTGAACAAATTATTGAGCTAATACAGCGCAGAGCCACAAAAATACCAGACAAACTGAAAAAGTTAGACTACAAGTCCAGATGTTTAAACTTGGCCTATCTACTCTAGTTGAATGTCGCAAATGAGGTGACCTCATCCAAAAATACAAAATTGTTAATAACATTGACATAGTCAACTGGCACTTTCCCCTCATCACAATTCCACCAAGAGCAAATCACAGAGAAAGACTTCATTTTAAACAAAGTAACAATTTACTAAAAATGTTTTTTTTTTTTTTAATATAATTGACAGTTGTATATATTTTTTTAATTTATAACATATAAATTGTTTAAGTGTTCATTTCTAATTTAGAAATGAACTATTTTAGAAATTCTAAAATAGACATTATTAAAAAATAAAAAGTTGTTTTGTTTTTATAAATGATGACATTCTTCGACTACGGAAGTCTCTATAACGAATTTAAATATAATAATAATTAAAGTTAATGCACTTAAAAAGATAAACAAAATTTCGTTAAAAAAAAAAGTTTTAGATGTTACAATTTAATAAGTTCTTAAATGCTTTTATATGATCAATACGCTTTTTAATGAAGTAAAAATAAAACACTTCTAATTAATTTAAAAAAAAAAGTATTCACAAAATGTGTTTTTTTTTAAATTTATATATTTATGTATTTTTTATGAAAAATGTTTAACTTTTGAAACATATTAAATAAATAAAAAATATATACAAATGTTGAAACAAAGATTGAAATGGTTTTTTAATGCATAAATTAAATAGACTTATCATTTTAGTTTGATGAGTTTTGTTTTAGTTGCATTATATATATATTTATTTTTTTGTGTTTCTGCTTTAATTAAGTATTTTTTTTATTTTCTCTTTTGTTAAGATTTTTTTTCTTTTTACAATTTTTTTTTTTAGATAAGTTTAGGTAAGTTTTTGTTGTGCATTTTTAAATTTTGAAAATGTGTTAAAAGCTGTGGTCAAATCGTTAAAACATATTATTTTTTGCGTGGTCATATAAAGGCGTGAAATGCCACGCCTTCCTGTGAAAGCCTATATATATATATATATATATATATATATATATATATATATATATATATATATATATATATATATATATATATATATATATATATATATATATATATATATATATATATATATATATATATTTAACTAGCCATATTTAAGGTGGTTGGCAATTTTTTTATTTGAAAACAAATTAAAAAAATGTCAAATTTTTTTTTTTTTAACATCTTAGCTTAAAACTAAGGTTTTAAAGGTTGTTTTTTTTTTGACATCTTTCTTTTAAAGCTAAATTAAGTTTAATAGATAATATTTTGCTAAGACTTCTAAAGAAACTGGAAAAAAATTAAAGTATTTTTACAACTAAAGAATGTACTATAACAATTTTTTTGCATCTTTGTAATCAAAATAGTGCAGCCGTGGCGTAGTGGTTAGAATGCTTGTTTTATAAGCAGGAGATCCAGGTTCAAAATGAGCTTTAGGCATATTTCGCGTCACGGTAAGGAAGGAGGCGTGAACTTTCTGATTAAATGCACTTCCACGGTGCCCTGTGGCAAGACGGTTAGGACTTCTTAGGCACCTAAATAACAAATTAAAAAAAAAAATTGTAATCAAAATATTTTGATCTAGCTGGTAAAAATTTTTGTCAGTTTTGAATAATAGCAACTTTAAATTTTATAGCTTTACAAAATTAATTGCTTTAAAGTCCAGAAATAACAAAATTAATTCTTATTTTTACATTTTAGTTTCACTGATTTCATTTTAGTTTCATTTTAGCTTTAGTTTCTGTTTATTTAGTTTATTTTATTTATTTTTAGTCTTTTAATTTTATATTTATTTAGATTTTTTTACTCGCTGGACGAAAGAGAAAGAAGAGCAAAACATCAAATTATCTCATTGCTACAGATCCAATAGATCTCTCTAGAGGTGGCGAAAATTTTTGTGGCAAATTAAGGTATTTTATTACAATGCATTTGTATATGTATATAAATATATATGTATATATATATATGTGTGTATATATATATATATATATATATATATATATATATATATATATATATATATATATATATATATATATATATATACATATATATATATATATATATATATATATATATATATATATATATATATATATATATATATATATATATATATATATATATATATATATATATATATGTATATATATATACATATATATATATATATATATATATATATATATATATATATATATATATATATATATATATATATATATATGTATATATATATACATATATATATATATATATATATATATATATATATATATATATATATATATATATATATATATATACATATATATATGTATATATATATATGTATATATATGTATATATATATATATATATATATATATATATATATATATATATATATATATATATATATATATATATATATATATATATATATATATATATATATATATATATAAATATAAATTATTGAAATCATAAAGGATAAAAACTAAAAAGAAAAGTAAAAACCCATAATATACTCTATAACTCAAGCCCAGTTATTAATTACACACATTTAATTTAGCCATATGTCACTGTTCTTATTTAATATATAACTAGTTGAATAAATAAATAAAACATTTTCATTAATTTGGAATTTTATGCAATAATTAAATGCATTTTATAATGTAAATGATTAGATATTGAGAATATGTATTAAATTTGAATTTGAATTTTGATTTATTTCAATTAAAAGATTTCTTTTTTAAATAAAACATAAATCAAACTAAAGGATTTATATAATTCATCAAAATTTAAGTAATTAAAGTACAAAACCCCCTATCAACAAATTAAAGTATAAAACCCCGTCAACTCGTTTCTCCGTTTCGTCAAGGTTCGTGTTTCAGAATTGTAAAGTTGAGAGAGGGTTATAACCACAAATTAGTAGCCTCCTTGTCTGTAGTGGCCTTCTCGGCTTTGAGGAGGTAAATTAAAATTAAAAAAAGAAAAAAAGAAATAGCAGCAATGCCCAGATAGTGGAAAGTGCAATTGTTTTAATTCTCTGGAATCTAATAGTCTAAGAGATGAGCTATGAGAATGAAAAATTCATTTGTATGTGAAATGAGGAGCTTTAAAGTTAGAAAAAGTGTATTAGTTGAAGCAAAAATATTAAATCTGCTACATCTTTCTTTTTTTTTTGGACGCTATATAGATTATTTTGAATAAATATAATATTTTTGTTTATTTGAGTTCCAAATATAAAATAAAAATACAAAGTTTAAAAAAATAATCACCAAAGTCAATAAAACAAAGAAAATTTAATTTTTCTGCATTAAGCTATATAAAATAGCAAGCCACTTAATTTTCAAATGTGGTTGACAAATTGTTAAAAAAAAAACTTTAAAAAAAAAATCAAAATTATGATGATTTGAATTAATATTGAAATAATAATTGAATTGAATATTATATAATCAAAGCTGAAAAATATTTAATAATAAATAAGTATAAAAAAATAGAATAGTATTTTGTTCCATATTAAGTAATATGAAATGATTTTGTAAAACAAACCTTTTTGAAAAAATTCAGTTTAATTTGGAGTAAAATTATATATATAAATATATATATATATATATATATATATATATATATATATATATATATATATATATATATATATATATATATATATATATATATATATATATATATATATATATATATATATATATATATATATATATATATATATATATATATATATATATATATATATATATATATATATATATATATATATGAAAAAATATTTATATATATTAGAAAAAAACTGAAAAAAACGATTGCTGTTATTTACTGTACAATAATGTTTTATTTTCGAAATTAGACATAAAATTGGGTGATTTGGGCAATTCGACATAAAATTGATTTGAGGCAGTTTGTGCTAAAAAAGAGTACGATGTTCATTTCTTTCTGGTAATAAATTTCTACAAATTAAATTTATTTTTTTGTAAAATTTTAATAAAATTACCATATGGTATAAACTTAAAACACGATTGATCAAAGACACGTTACTTGTTTATACTAGATTTAGCTGTTTATTTTCTAAATATGCTTGGTTGTCCCATTGGCATAAGAACAACAATACTTTGTGTATCCACTCTGAAATCCAGTAAGCAAAGCAACCACTTTTAAATTATCGCCAGTGACTGGTGTAATTAATACAATATATAATCTGTTTGAGATTTGCATAGATTTTTTTCATTGACACAGTATAGGTTATAGATAGAGATGGAAATAGGTTTCCATTGTGCAGCAAAACAGATTTGTTACTATTGGCGGATCCATCTATAAAAAACCTCGAGTCTTCTGTTTTATACTGAAATTTACAAGCAAATAAACTGTTTTCAAACCAAATGTCATTACAATAACTGAATTCTTCTTCATTAAAAAATTTGCACAGCTCAATGCGGTAGTGGTGTAGTGGTAGAGCGCTCGCTTCATAAACGAGTGGTTCCGAGTTCGATCCCCACCACATCCCTGGTAGTACCGCGCTCAACTCGTTTCTCCGCGCAGCGGCCTTGCTCGTCAAGGTTCGTGTTTCGGAGTTATAGAGTTGAGAGAGGGTTATAACTACAAATAAGTAGCCTCCTTGTCTGTAGTGGCCTTCTCGGCCTTGAGGAGGTGAATTAAAATTAAAAAAAAAAAAAAAAAAAAAAAAAAATTGTTTGTTTGCAAAAAATGGTAATTAGCTACCAGGTTCAACTCTTTTAAACAATATGCAAGCATTATCACTTTGTCCTTTGGTTAAGGTAAGGTCACATACCAGGTTGTTTAGTCTAAATTGTGTGATGAAGGGGGGGGGGGGTTGTTACTTGTTACAATTGCGGAATGTGGAATTTCTTTTAATTGCACTTTCTTCTGTTATAACTGCTTACATAATTCTATCAACTTGTTTCAAAACCAAATTTATGACTTATAAGGCAAAAATTTTAAGCAAGGAAAACTTGTATTTATTTTTTTGTATTTTATTCTTTTTATTATTATATTATATAGTTTATTTGGTTTTTTTATTTTAAGCTTAAATCTGTGTTTATATATATATATATATATATATATATATATATATATATATATATATATATATATATATATATATATATATATATATATATATATATATATATATATATATATATATATATATCAGGCCTTGCGATAAAGCGTCGGGCAATGTGAATTTTACGTTGTCCGAGAGCGATTTTGCGTGTAGCTAGGGCTATTTGCGTCAAGCAAAAAATTTTTTGTTTGAGCATATTTAAAGATATTTTTGAGCGGAATTTAAATGAAGTAATTTACAATTATTTTAACATTTAAAAAAGAATTTTAAAAACCGCGCGCAGTTGATATAAAAGTTTGAATTACAAAAAAATTAAATATGCTCATTATTTACAAGTAGAAAAAATTCAGATTAAAAAAAAAGTTTAAATCTTTTTAAGCTAACATTTCAATAAAATTATTCAGCAAAAGCAAAGTTGTCGATAAAATTGTCGAAAAAAAAAAAATACTTTCTTTTAGTTTTAGATTTTTAACTTAAATAATTATTTTACGGGGGTTTGTTAGGTTTTAAAATTATTCCATAGATTTAAAAATATTTATTAACTGTTAGACGTATTTAAAGTATTTAAGAGTAATTTCGAGGAAATATTATAAAAATTGGTAAGCGCAAATAAAAAAATTAAAAGGAATAATATTAAAATGTATTCTACTTGGTTCAATAAAAAAGTACAGTTATTAAAATTTTTGTAAAAAGTAACTCAAAAAAAACTACTTAAATAATAACAATCGCTTTTGGGTAACTTTAATTAAAAGTTACCGAAACTCAACGAAGCGTGCTCAAAAACAGCTGCTGAAAAATAGATTGTCAATAATTTGATAAGTTTATATAACCTGGTTTTGTTACCCGGTTTCTACCGATGTAAAGCGAATTTCCACAAACACCACGAAAAAGGCTCAATAAACGTAAAAAATAAAATAAAAATTAATTTGCAACCTGTAATCATAAGCCATTTCATAAAACTTAAAATATAAAGTATATCTAAATGAGGACATATATAAAACGTGCATTAATTTTTTTTCTTAAAATTAATTTTTATCTTCAAAAAAAAAACAAAGTTGTTTTACTACTACTGCTAGTGCTAGTGCAATTTTATTTTACTAAAAATAAAATTCCTTTGAAACATTAAAAATCTATTCAAAACGTTCGTTAAAGTTTTTTAGTAATACGAGTGATTGTGCTTATCAACTGCTTAACGGAAATAAATAAAAATAAATAAAACAAAAAATTATTAAATAAAATTGCTGGTAAAAATATTAGCTATTGCACAGTTTTTAATCGTACAATATTAAAATTTCCAGTTTATTACTCGCTGACTTTTTAAAAAGAAAAAATAATTATTTGAAAAACTTTAAATTACATATTTGAGAAAAAAAAATCAAGTATTAGCATATTTTATAATCTTTTTTAAATGTTTAGTTATAATGTTTTTTATTCGTTTAGTATAGACAAAACGTGTCAAACGTCGAGAAAATAAATGTTTTTACATTTTAAAAAACGAAACGTTCCAAAACATTATTAAATAATAACATTTCCACATTAAAGATTTAAAGTAGTTTTGAGGTAATTAAGTAAATTGGTGCAGTTAATGTCGATAAATATGAAAAGCAAACAATAAGAATTTAATGACGCCAAAAATCACGTCGTGCTTATGCGTTGCGCAGTTTTTATTCATCACAAGGCCTGATATATATATATATATATATATATATATATATATATATATATATATATATATATATATATATATATATATATATATATATATATATATATATATATATATATATATATATATATATATATATATATATGTATATATATATATATATATATATATATATATATATATATATATATATATATATATATATATATATGTATATATATATACTTATCTAATTTTATAGTCTTATTACTTTGTCTAGGGACATGCAACCCACAGCTCGTGAGTAACATGCAGCTCTTTTATCTATATTATGTGGTTCTTCAGCCTGTCAAAATTATATATTTTTAAATTTTATTGAAACAAATGAAAAATTGACTATTAAATTAAAAATGATTTTGAAAATAAAAAAGTAGATGAAATAATGAATAGAAATCGAATTACATTAAAATAAAGTACGTAATTAGTTATATAATATTGCTGGTATTTCATTTAAACAGGCTTAGTTCTGCAAAAGTACATGAATAAAGTTTGCGCGCAACATGTCATAATTTGAAGCATTGTATTAGCAAAAATATACAATTAATCATAAAATACAACCAATGTCAGATTATACAAAAATAGCATCTTTAAATTAAGTCAAAACTAAATGTTTCTATGCGTTTTTTTCAAACAAAATTTCTAGCTAACATTTTTCTTTATGAAAAATATGTTAGCTAGAAATCTGAAGCTAAAATATATGAAGCTAAAAATAAATTTCATTGTTTTAGCATCACAGATTAAAATTTTGCACCACAGATTTATTCATGCAAGATGACAATATTTTAACAACACAAAAAATTAGATAGCTTTCATCTAATTAAAATTATTCAATAAATTGATAATTAGATAAGTCTAATTAGATTAAAGCTTCATCTTAAGACAATAATTGTTGATAATGATCTACAGTTTTTTTACAATCCTTGGAATTCTTGGTAACATTTTCTAAAATTATTCAATAAAAAATGGCTCTTCATTTAAAATAGGTTGCTCCCCTCTGACTTAGCCTGTAAATTGTTTTTTACTCTTTATCCTTAATCTGTAAACTTTTTCTTTGTGCATATATATAATATTTCTTATGCATGTTCTGGAAATTGTTTTTATTCCATAAGCTTGGTTTTAGGTCTAACTTAGTAGGAACTAAGTTCACATGTTATGATTGTGGGCGTAGTCCAAAGAAAGGAGGATTACTAGGCGAAGGATCCCATTTAAGGGAAGAATTATGTGCAGTTGTTTATGTAAGTTTTTTTTTTCAATTTAAAGAACAATTTTAAAAGTAAAAGCTTAATTGAAATTTTTTGTAAAATTTTATCATAAAATTTAAGCTAATATTTTTATATTGTAAGTATAAGTAATTATATAAAAGGGTTTTTTTAACTTTTTTGTTTTAATTTAGAGATTAATAAAGCATTATAAATATTTTAATATTCATTTCAAAAAACTTAGTGTAATGGTCAAAAAATTGAAATTATATTTTTAGAAATAATAGTTTTTTGTTACAAAATAATTTTTTAATTTTTTTAAAACAAAATGGGAGTTTTAAAAGCTTGTTTTTATATACAGAATATAAAATAATGATGTCATTGATTGACGAATTATAGCAGGAATGCTGATAAAAAACATATTTTTTTTCAAGTGAAATGCCTAATTTCTTTTTTTAATTGAAAAGGTTGATTAAAAAGGTAAAAAGGTTGACACTGCTTATTTAAAAAAAAAGGAGTTTAAACCAAAAAAACCTTTAATTGGTTTAAAATTTCAGTTAAATAAAAATAATAGTTCTTTAAATAATTTTTTTTTAATTATTAAATTTACCTCCCGGCCTCCGGAGTTAAAGTTTAGAGTCTAAAAACACTGCAGCTGAGGAGGCTAATCATTTTGTTTTTGTTGCTGTTTCATTTTAAAAATGTCTCTCAGCCTTGAAATCTAAAATACAAACCTTTTTAAACAAGGTTGCTTAGAAACAGGTTGAGCACAGTACTTTCAGTACTGCTCTTAAACTTTTTTACATTATCGTATTCAATATATAAAATTGTTTAATGTGTAAAGAAATTGCGCGCTGCCTAATGCTTTAAAACAAGACCTGTAAAATTTATCTAGTGTCTGGATTCTGATAAATCCAGACAGCTGATTCAGTGATCTGGCAAGGATTTGTTTAAAATCTTCAAAAAACTTTACTTACTGCTTAGAACAATAAACATTGGATCTTGTAGAGTCAAGAATAGGTTTTTTACTTGTGCCTCCTAGGTAGCGGTTAAGCAAATCTTTCTGTTATTTTCTGATAGCAGAAAGATCTTTTCTATTTTGAATTCTTCACTCAATAAGTTTCTTTTAGTTCCTCTTTAACTTTAATTTTGACTTGATTTTTTTGTTAAAGCTTTTTAAAAAAAAAACTAATTGTTATCTGAAAGATTCTTTAAATGTTTGTATGATTTCAATAGTTATTTGATTTTAGATCATTTTTATCATAATAAAAATCTTTTTGAGCCAAAAATTTTTTATAGAACTATGCTGCAATATAAAAATTAATTTGTAGAATTTTGCTACAAAATAAACCCTAACCATTAGTATAGTTGATTTAATTTATATTTGTATTAAATTTCTACTAATTTTTTTGGTTTTTGTGTTTATCTGTTTTTACTTGTATACTTTTTAATTTTAATATAAATTCTTTTTTAGGTTGAGTAATTAATAGTTCTATTTTGTTCATTTCTTAATAATGTCTTTGTTTTTAAGGATACAAATGTGCTTGGATTTAAAGGTCCTCGCAAAATGACTGTCATTATACCAGGGATGGGTCTTGATCATCAAAGAGTTGCAATAAAGCCCCATAGTGTTAGTTTTGTTAATTTTACTCACAGTTATAGAATAATATACATCTAAGTTACAGATTTTTTAAAAACTAATAATAAAAAATATGTTTAGGAAAGTGACTCATTATTAGAAAAACACAGAACAAAACAAATGGATAATTTAATCGAACTTCATAATAAAACTCCAGTTTGGAATGATGGTAAGTTTTTATTGTACAATGTTAAGTAAAATTTTTGTTATTTTTTATGTTGTCAATATTATAATTAAAAATTTTTTTTTTGATGTTTTCACCTCCCCAAGGCCACTATGGTTAATGAGACTACTTTTTTTTTTTTAATGTGTTTACAATCGTCTCTCAAATCTTTAACTCCAAAATATGAACAATGCTTGTCAAGGTTCAACAATCAACTTCTTTCTACTGTGCGCAGAAACAAGTTGAGCGTGGAGCTACTAGGGTTTTTAAATTAACTCTATATTCCAAACTTTTTTAGTTTAACTCTATGTTCCAAGCTTTTTTGGTTTAACCCTATGCTCTGACACAAAATATTATGAATGCTAACATAAACATTTATATTTAGCATAATGCAGTTTACTTTTTGAAAAAATGACTTCCAACAAAGCTGCAAGCAAGCACTATTAAAATTGGCAGAATTTAAATGAGTTAAAAAGCAATAAAAAAAAGTTGAAGAAAAAAACTGTAAATTGTCAAGATAAAAGGTTAACAGAGGACTTCAAAAACTGTAAATTGTACAAGTCAAGATAACTGGAAAAAACTGAAAGCACTGAAAACAAAATTAGACAAATGTTTTTTGAATGTTTCAGTAAAATTATATGAATTAGCTGAATTGCGCAATATTGGGTTTTGGTTAGTGGAAAATTAGATGAAAGCTTGATTAAGTTGCAACTGGTAGTATTTTCATAAATAAAAAATATTTTTACAAGAATAGATAGTGATTTAGGTTTGGCAACTAGAAAAGGTCCAGCTGCATCTAAGAAGTGTTTTATATTTTGTCTAAAAGAAAAAGGGTATTATTAGAAGAACTAATTTATATATGACAGCAGTATTCCATACAAAGGTGGATAAGAGGTTTTCAGAGGTGAAAATGTAATTAGGAGGTTTTCAGAGGTGATAATGCAATCATGAATTAGAAAATGAGGAGTATTATAGAGAGAGGGAACTTTAGCAGATAATAGTTTTGTTGATAATTTTCATGAATGATCAGTAGTGAAAAATAATCTGAGAAGATTTAAAGTAAAGGACTCAATAAAAGTCATCGCATTCATTAATGTAAGAACATCAACAGTGTTACAATTGTTATTGTAGTTATCAGTAAACTACTGAGTTAAAATTTACTAGCAACTGTGAGCCCCAAGCTATAACAAAAAAAAAATCACATTCAAGAAATGCTGTTTTATCTAAAAGTAACTTTTTGTCTTGACTGAAGTACATAGTTTTTAGGCAATTCTCCAGAAAACCGATGTCTGTTTACTATTGTTAGAAACCATTGTAAAATGGTTTTGTCTAATGCCAATGCTCTCTATTCTCAGGCCATGTAATCTTGTATTTCATATTCAATTAGGCTCTCGTGACTTCTGGAGAATCTTTAACAACATCAATAATAAAGGCAAATCTGTTATTCCACTTCTTTTGTATGGCTCAGACTTGGTCGCCTCACCTAAAAACAAAGCTGAATTGTTTGCTAAGAACTTTTCAACAAAATATAATCTCTTGATTTGACATTCTACCTGATATAGTTGACAAACAGGTTGACCCAACCAGCTTCTGTATCTTAAGTAATTTCCTGCTTAGACTCTTAACAGCTTGTGGTCCGGACAACCTACCTGCTATAGTCTTGCAGAAATGTTCTCTGGAGCTATCGTCTATACTTTCAAAACTATTTAACAAGTGCTTATCTGAGTCTTGTTTTCCAGCCTGCTGTAAAGCGGCATCTGTTATCCCTATTATCAAAAATTCTGGAGAGCGATCTGACTTGTCCAACTACCGTCCCATTAGTCTTCTTCCTATCATTAGCAAAGTTTTTGAATCTTTAACAAACACTTAATCTCTAATCTTGAATCTTATAACTTACTTTCTGATCATCAATATGGATTTCGATCTTCTCATTCTACAGCCGATTTGCTAACAGTAATAACCGATAGGTTTTATTGTACATTAGATAGAGGTGGAGAAGTTAAGGCTATCGCTCTTGACATTTTTAAAGCTTTTGATAAGGTTTGGCATGGTGGTTTTCTCTATAAGCTTTCTTCTTAGGGTGTATCTGGAAACATCTTTAAGATTATTGAATCTTTCCCTTCCAATTGTGGTATAAAAGTTGTCCTCGATGGATAACACTCTTCTTCATATCCTTTAACCTCAGGAGTTCCTCAAGGTTCTATCCTTGGTTCTATACTCTTTTTAATTTACGTTACTCGTCATTCAATTAAGTCTCATTCTTTTTTTGTGACTGTTCCTAAGTGCTCCAAAAACTCATATTCATCTAGTTTTTTTCTTTGAACATCAGTTCTTTCGATTTCGTTTCCTTCATCTTGCTTTCCTGATTTATATAATTTGCAATCTTTTATGTCGTCTGTTAATTGCTATCTTACTTTATAAACTTCATCTTTTCTCTTCCAGTAACTTCCAACTTTAATAGTGGTTGCTTGCTGCCTTTTTGGAAGCAAAGATGTTGAAAAAAAAAAAGGATCATTACAGGTAGCCCCATATTGTTGAAAGTTTTGACCCAATAGATGAACTGTTGAATTAGGTTAAGTAAAATGTTGGTAGGTGCATTTCTGACATGAAAGAAATTTTGATATGCTCTTTGCGTCTAAAGAATCAAATTCTGACTTATATAAATCTGAACAACTTTAGTTTTTTGTTCTGTGCAGAGTCTTTCTATTTTAATTCTTCCAACTTTCTTGGAGTTTATTCTGAAAAAAAATTATATGTAAACAAATCTTTCTAATTTTTAAACATTTAACATCACAAACACAAACATAAATAATAAGTTGTAGAAAGATATAAGGTTTATAAATAATATTTTTCTGAAAAATAGTTAAAGAGCCCAGCTTTAAATTTTGAGAGAGATATCAGTTTTTAAGGGAGATTTTGAGAAGAAGAGAGTTCCATATTTTTATGCCTTGGTTTTACATAATTGTAATAAAGAGTGAGTAAAGTAAAAAGAGAGAAAATGGTTTATTGGTTTAATTTACGTTGAAAATGATATATATGGGTACCTTAAAGTTGCCAGCTGATTGTATAATTAATTTAATATAATAATTGCAAGGATGTTAGAGGTGAACTACTGTACTAAAAAATAAATTATTTTTCAAGTTTTACTTTGCAGATTAGTTGTAAAAAAATACCTGAAAAGCTTATCTGATATGACTGTGAAAAATTGCAGATGTGTTTTCTGCCTAGGATGACGAATGCTGAATCTTCTTGACTCTACTCATAGGTTTTGCTTGTGCCTCCTTGATAGTGGCCTTGCAATTTTTCCTGTTATCTACTAAAAAAGGTATAGCTCTAAAACTCAGTTTAATGGTTCTGATGCCAACTGGTAGTAAAGGTTTCCCGAACTTTGTAGTAGTTCTCAGAGAGACTAATTCCATCAACAGCTGCAAAATATCTGAGTGCCATATTGCGTGTGGATGGTGTCCCTTTTAATGCTTTTGGTGCACATTGTTGAGGCTACATAAGTAACACTATGTTACAACTTAGAGTTAGTTAACAGGACTGAGACAATTGCATAGTTTATTGCTTAGGAGACTGTCCTCTATCTATAAAAGAGTCAAGTTCTTTATAAACTTAAATCATGGCAAAGTAACCCAAACTATTAAAAATAAAAAACTATCCCCACCACCTAACAGTTTTAATAAATCTTTCACAAATATTAGTGTTCAGCAAAGCAACTTTCCATCAGTTGAATTTTACCTCTTGCAAAATTCACCAGACTTGCTTGCTCTTAAGGAGGATTATTTATATTCCTTCTTCAGTTCTCAGTGTTGCTGGATACTATCCTTTGATTTGCAAAGACTCCAATAGTCACATGCTTGTCTTGGGGGTATACATACCCATCAATGTGCCTATTTGTCGTGAAATCAAGTTTGAATCCTTTGACCATTCTTTTATGTGCTTCCGCTTAGCACCTCTTTACTCCATCACCTTTCTCTTTGTTTTTTATTGTTCTCCTTCTTCTCAAGACTGCACTCTATTAGATGTAATTTTTGATCAAATTTACCATGCCCTCTCACTTTACCCCTCTGCCAATATTGTTGTTATTCGTGACATAAACACTCATCACACTGAATGCTGGCACTAAAGCATATAACCTCTATATTTCTCAATCTCTTACTCACATATTTAACTTAGTGATTCGTTTTCCTGACAACCCTAATCATTTACCTTCACTCCTTGATTTATGTTTTGTCTCTGATCCTAGCTTGTGTTTAGTTTCTCCTTTCTCTCCCTTACGTAGTTCTGACCATGCAATGATCTCTTTAAATCTTTTTTCTCATACTTCTTTTCAGTCTCACCTTATCATCGCGCTACTTACTACTACCCTAAAGCTGAATGGGATTTTTTTCATGATTTTCTTCGTTAGGGTCCTTGGACTGATGTTTTTTTCTCTCTCAGCTGATAAATGCGCCTCCTACGTAACCTTCTGGATTCAGGCAGGAATGAATGCTTTTATTCTTTCTTGTTGCTCCCAAGTCAAGCCTTATTCTACTCCATGGTTTTTACCTTCTTGTGCAGCTGCTATATCTTATCGTAATCAATTTTTTCATCTTTTTCAAAAAAACAACTCTCTTGAGAACAAACGGATATTTATTATTGCAAAAAATTAATTTAAAGAGGTGTTGTCTGATGTTAAGCTCGGTTATTCTCAGTTCACCATATCTCGTATCTTATCACAGAAGTTAGGCTTTAAAGACTTTTAGAAAATCTTCAACAGCGTCATTAATAAGGGTAGGTCTAAAATTCCATCTCTCATTTATGAGATTGATTATTACCTCTTCCAAAGATAAGGCAGAACTATTTGCAAAGAACACTAATTGGACTCTTGAATCTTATGGCCATTCTCTTACTTCCATTCCTATTAAACAAGTTAAGTTAAAAAGCAAAATGTTTTATGACAAATAATAATTTCAAACCTTTTGAGTTTAATTCAATTCAGCATTCTTTAATAATATTTCGTAAACTTTTATATATAACAAACATAACCAGTAAAACTCCTTATAAAACATTAAAATGCTCCATACAACTTATTTATCAATAGACCCTATAACTTTTATAAACAACATATCTATTTTTTCGTAGAGTTTACAAAACTTCTCAATGAGTTTGATGCAGCAGACAATTTTTTTTCCTTGCGAAAACGTATTTTATTAGTTCTTGAAGGGTTATAGTTTTCCATTTTAAATGAAAGCAGTGTAGTGGTAGAGCGCTTTGTAAATGAGAACTTCCGAGTTCGATTATAATTTATTATAAGATTGATAAATTACTTAAGAACACAAAAATAACACGACACAACACAAGATAAAACATTGTCAGCTTGTTTTTTATTATAGACACCCAGTCGTATGTTTTAAATTTCCATGGAAGAGTGACTCAAGCTTCTGTAAAAAATTTTCAAGTTGTTCATGAAAACGACCGTAAGTCAATTTTTCAAAAAACATTGATAACTATAAAACGTTAATAACATACCTATTTAAATTTGTTAAGTGAAAACTTTACTGTGATTTATTTTTTAGAGGATTACATTGTTATGCAGTTTGGTCGGGTTGCAGACGATATTTTTACCATGGATTTTAATTACCCTTTATGTGCTCTCCAAGCATTCTCAATAGCCCTAAGTAGTTTTGATGGAAAACTTGCTTGTGAATAAATTAAAATTGTTTGCAGCACTTGGGCATAATTAATTAAATATAATATAAAGATAAATGTATAGAGATTTAAATTTTTTGTCCTTGTGAGTATAGTTCTAATATGTGGTTTTTTTAGTAAAATGAAAATCATAGTAATATATAGCTTATAATGATAATATATGTCATAATATATTATTTAAAAACCAAAGTTTTAAAATATTTTACTTTTGTCCATTCAAAAAATTTATACATTTTTTTAGTTTGGTTTTTTTTTGTTTTTTGTTTTTTTAATTGTACGATTCAGCTAATCTACGATGCTGATAAACGTAGAACAGATATTTATATGCATTTAAAAGATTATATGTTCGTTTAAACTTGGAGAAAGTTATTGTGAATACTTGATTCTTTTAATTATAGAGGATTTTACTTGAATTTTTAAAAGTTTTTATTTTTAGTTATTTCAATTATGTTAGTCATTTTTTTTTATATATAAATTTATTTATTTCCAATGATTCTGACATAAAATATAGATATAAATATAGATGAAATTGTAATAAAATTTATAAATATAATTTAATTTCTACAATTATTTTCAACTTGATTGTCTTAAAACTTTTCAAAAATATATTTGTTTTAGGAGCCAAAGGAGTTCACTCATTGATATAGGTCTGAGGTCTTCTTGGAGCACCTTAATAACTTTAAAAAAAAATTCATGGTCCACTGACCATAGCTTGTGAGTTAAATTAATCTCTAATATTATAAGCACAGAGTTGTAAATATTGGAATTAAACTTGTAAATTACAAAATCCTGTTACGTGATAATTATCTATATATGATAAGATGAGATAATAACTTTCAAATAAAATAGGGTAATAGTCATCCGATATTTTAGAGAAAGTAGCAGACTCAGAATACAATCAATAATTAATAACCAAATAAAAAGTTTTTGCTAAATATATGCTAAGGACGAATTGATAGCACGAATTCAATCAGAAATAACAAATAATAAACCGGATATCATGTTCTTCACGGAGACATGGTTTAACGACAATTCGGACACAAACATCGAAGGATATCAGGCTATTATCAGAAATAGAGATGGTCGATCAGGCGGAGTAGCTATCTACATCAAAAACAATTTGACAGTAGCCGAAACTAACATCGAAATTCTACAAAAGCCGGCAAACATCGAACAGATAAGGAGAATCATTAAATGCCAAAATGATTCGGTTCTTGTAGGCTGCATATACCGACCACACGACCTAGATGATAACGTTCTAACACAAATCATCAACTCAATCAAAGCTGCAAAGCGAAGTCTCGAGAGCCTTAAATGCTCGTCTCTTCTCTTATATAGCAATTTTAACTTTTCGCACACAACATATGAGCAATTAGATACTGGAGGTAACTCTGCTACTGCTGCTCACATATTAAACAAACACCAAACAGACATCAAATTCCAGAAATGCTTGGACGAATATCATCTTACTCAGAAGATTACGTTCCCAACTTACCGCAATTCTCTAGATGTCAGACCAGTAAGTACTCTTGACTTAATAATTACCGATGAACCCGATTTTCTTATATTTCTCGAAGAATGCGAACCTTTGGGTTGCACACCCAGGGGACAAGCCCACTGCATGATAAAAGGTACGCACGCTCTACCTGAATCTAGTCTTCAAGGTACTCTCACCAACCCACGTTTCATATGGAGTTGAGCAAATTTTGATATGCTCTCGGCATACATAACAGCCCATGACTGGGAGAATACAGTAGGTTTGTCTTCAACTCGCGAAAACTACAAAATACTGATCGAAAAATATAAGGAGGCCGTAAAACTATATATTCCTAGTACAACAAAGCCTTTCAAGGAAAAGAAAGAGCCGTGGAATACACAGTCAGTAAACAAAGCAGTAAATAACAAAAGAGACACATGGCAAAAATTCCTAGCTGCCGGTTCATCACTTAAAGACTCGATACGCCTGGAGCACAAACTCACTTGTAAAAAGGTCTCAAAAGAAGTTCGAAAGACCGTAGTGGACTATGAAATGGGTATCGCTTATGTCTTCAAATCAGACCCAATAAAGCTACACAATCACGTTAAACATAAAAAGCTGGTCAAAGACACTATTAGAACTATGGAAGACTTGTCGGGAAATATAACTACCGACAAAAACGAAGTCGCTAAAATCTTGAATGATTATTTTCAGTAAGTATTCACAACAGACCCACTTGATCAGCTACCAAATTTCGAAGCACGTGCGGAAGTTATATGCGATCCAGACGATTCCTTTATTACCGAGTCAAATATAAGAAAAAGTCTCGAAAGTCTTAAAGAATCCAAATCTATGGGTTTTGATGGTATTCACCCTCGAGTGCTACGTAATTGTGCGAAGGCCTTCGCACGTCCACTGGCTCTAATTTTTCGGAAGTCCTTCAACGAAGGGATCGTCCCAGACTTATGGAAACGGTCGAACGTTTCACCTATTCATAAGAAAGACAGTAAGCAAAAGGCCGCAAACTATCAACCAGTCTCTCTTACTTCTGTGCCCTGCAAAGTTATGGAAGGCACAATTCATGAAATGATCATGAATCACTACAAAGCAAACGATCTCATTACAAAGGAGCAGCATGGTTTCCTCAAAAAGAAAGGATGTACATCGAACCTTCTTGAGACTCGAGACATCTTAACAGAATCAATTCACCAGGGCAGTGCAGTAGACGTCATCTACACAGGCTTTGCCAAGGCTTTTGATATAGTTTCTCATAGAAGACTGCTTCATAAATTACAAGCGTACGGCATTCGCGGAGCTCTTTTAAAATGAATAGAGGCGTGGCTTTCAAATCGCCAACAAAGAGTTGTCATTGACGGAGCAGAGTCAGAATGGAAAGAAGTCACTAGTGGAGTTCCGCAAGGGTCTGTACTAGGCCCTTTATTATTTATTATTTACATAAACGATTTGCCGGACAACCTACAAAAGTATATCAAAATCTATGCCGATGACAACAAAATCATAAGAGTTATCGATAATGATGATGATGTAAAATCTTTACAAACAGACATAGACAGCACAGTAGCCTGGTCACACGAGTGGCAAATGAGTCTAAATCAAGATAAATGCAAAGTAATGCATGTTGGAAAAGCTAAAAATAAATCTACACAACTGTATACGATGACAGGCAGAAATGGAATCTTACATAATCTAGGAAAAACTACACTTGAGCGAAACCTAGGAGTTCTAGTATCCGACGACTTGAAAGTTTGTCAACAAGTCGAATCAGCTTCAGCAAGGGCTAACAGCATGTTAGGTAGACTCAAAAAAGCTTTCCGCAGTCGAGGGTTAGTACTATGGAAAACCCTATACACAACGTACGTGAGACCGCACTTGGAATTCGCAATTCAAGCGTAGTCTCCCCATCTCAGGAAAGATATCGAAAAACTCGAACAAGTTCAGCACAGGGCAACTAAACTCATCACAGAAATCAAGAATGATTCGTTTAAAACTCGTCTTCAGAAACTCGGTTTTACAACACTAGAAACCCGTAGGACAAGGGGAGATCTCATTCAAAATTTCAGAATACAAAACGGTTTCAAAGTAGTTTTGTTTTTTCATAAACAACAACTTGCACCATCTCTATCAACGTACAATTTACGTGGCCATAACCAACGATTGGAAAGACAAAACGTTAATAATTGTGAAGAAAGAGCTCATTTCTTCACTAACAGAGTAGTTAACCCTTGGAACGCATTCGCGCCGAATGCGATCAGGGCTCAATCCCTAAATGTCTTTAAAGATCATATAGATGGAAAAAGAGCATCTTCGGTCATTTTATTAAATGACCTTTCAGCATAGAGGGGATTGGTTATCACCTCTTCATAAAATATTTAAACATTTTTTTAAAAAACAAAAACTCTACTAATCAATTGTTATTTTACTTAAATATTTTATTTCTGAAATAAAACAAATTCAAATTCATATCAACTATAAGAAAATCGTAAAATTAACAAATTGGCAATTAGCAAATGAAATATATACTGAGTAACTTATAGCAACTGAAAAACCGTCAATTATCATACTGTTTTCAGTATAACGATAAGAACTCACATGAAGCCTGTACAGTACAAGCAATTTAATAGCTTTTACAATACTGTACAATAAGCAATTTAAGCAACAAACTGATTTAGTGATGTCAAATGAAAAAAATGCAATAAAAACGAAAGATCAAAGCACCTCAGGTGATTTAATAATAATTCCTTTCTAATCTAACTTGCAACATAGACTCTAAGAGGCAATCTCGCTCTAATGCTGACTTGTTAAATTGTTTTGTACATTAGATGGAAGCAGGGAGGCGAGGCTTTTGCTCTTAAAGTATATAAATAATTCAAAAAACTCTGACATACTGGTCTTCTCCATCAGCTCGCTTTATGTAATTCACTTCGCATTTCTATGGTACCATAAGAATCTATCTTTGGTCCTATTTTTTTCCCTTATCTATATTAATAATCTATCTAATAAGGTTGTCAACCTTACTTATAAAATAGTACATTTTGCAAACGACGCAACGAATGTAGACTTCAGTCACAGAGCACTGCGCAAGAACGTTTAAATAGGAAGTTCACGCCTCCTACTTTACCAATGGTGCGAAATATTCGAAACTTCGAATTTTAAATTTGATCTTTTTTTTAATGACATTTAGGGGCCTGCAGTGGCTAGTAAATCTTAAGCTAAAAAATAACTCAGTTATTTATTGTTAATAGCTATCGCAACAAGGTGTTTTTTTTCTAATTAATTCTAAATTTATAGTAAAAAAAGAAGTTAAAAGACATCATTGTTTTAAAAGCTAAATTTTTAAAACTTTAATCACCAATTTTTCTGACCGACTTCAATTTGTTCTGCACTTATTAAATCTTATCTAAACAATATTTACTTTTTAAATAAATAATATAAGAAATAGGTAGCAGCCGAAACGTTATGATTTTTTTTATAGTGGCCTTTATTGTTCACTCTGCTGTAGTATTATGTAATAATATATATAGAAGGTATTGCCTAAGCGAGGTATAGTTGTCAAGTTTCTCAATTTTAAAGATCGTGAAAACATTCTCGAAAAATACAAAAAAAAATGAAAATGAGGAAGGAAAATATGTATATTAACGAAGATTTCAGCAGCGAACAACTAGTATTCGCAAACAACTTTTCCGACAAGCAAAAGAACGACAAGCATCAGGTAAATTCGCTAAAGTTGTGTACAATAAAACAATCCCTAAGCCATCTTAAAACAAAGTGTATTCACAGTTATTTATAGCAGAATAAAAAAAAACTAATAATAATAAATTCGAAAAATAATAATTATTATGAAAATGCTTTTAAATTTTTTCAAATTAATGATTATAAATCGGATGAAGAATCCGATCCAGACATA